TGCTTGTCAGAGTTTAGAATGACTCCATAATCATGCTGAAGATCTACTTTACCAGTGAGTTTTAAGGGGAGGAATAGTCTTGAGTTTACTTTATTCTTAATATCAAGCACAATCTCAAATGGATGTGCCAAAAAGTCCAATGAGTTGGACATGACTCCAGTCAAATCCCCAGTGATTTCTGCATCATGAGAGGCCGTCAGTGCAACTTTCAAGTCCCCAATATGTGTCTGTCCATTTAAAACCATAACACTCTTCTTGACAGATGGACCTTCAGTTTCACATCGTGCTTCAACAGTGATATGGCTTAAGATTACTGATTCAGCAGTCAGTGATTGTCTTGATTGCAAAGCCTTACAGTCTGTTTCTCCAGTAAACATTAACTTGACAGTGCTGAAATTTATGTTTAAATCTATATTGCTTCTGTGTGTGCCTTCATCTGAGTAGTCTTTAATGGACCACCTGCCATTACCAGAAGATTCTCCAGTCACAGAAATTCTACCCGATTCCATTGTGGCTGAAATATTCTGTTTCATTGATAACTGACTTGAAGTTTCAACTAATGGGATGTTCAAATTGTGGTTGTACATTGTGTCTATGGCTGCAGAGATTCCACTCTTCAATGTAAGTGACATAGTGTTGACCAAGTCTGCTGTGTACATTAGGGTTGTGACCTTGGTAGTAGTCTTGGCAAAAGCCTCTGCAGAAGTGCCTGTAAGTGTTAAGGATCCCCCATGATCAATGGAGAAGCCCATGTGTGTAGCTTTAACTGTTTCTATGAATAGAAGCTTCTTCATTCGGGGAGCAGCCAACTTAGCAGTGGCTTCAAAGTTATATTCAAGGGGATCAATTGATGATTTAACATGAGAAATAATTGTGGCTGTAAACTGTGGGCTTTTTGGTGTGGACGTTGAGTTTTCAATCTTTCCTGTGGTTACAAGAGTATACTGTGGGGAATTCACTCTAAATTCTCCATGGAGTTTACCGAAAATTGGGATACATATGTCACTGGGAATATCAGGCAATTTGATCTCTGGAATTGGCAGCATTGTGATTTCAAAATCCTTTACATTTAATTTGGGGATGACGATGGCTGGAAATTTTATTTCAGAAAGAGTTATTTCTGAGAATGAGAGATCTGGTAGGTCAGATAGGTAGAGAACTTTGAGGTCACCAAATATTTCCTCAGGGTCAGGCATTTTGATTTCAAATTCTCTGATGTCATCTATGAATGCAACAATCTTTGATTTGATTTCAATGAAGTCTATGGTAAAGGCAGGGATTATGTAGGAGTTCAGAATAGTGAACTCAGGGACTGATATTTGAGCCGGGATGTTAATCTCCTGCAGTTTGTTCAGATTGATGATAAATGACGGAACGACAAGGTCAGTGAGAGGTATAGTAAAAGTGCCAATTTCAATTTCTGCTCTTTTCAGTGCATCCAAAACACTATCTAATGTTTGCTTTATCTGGGAAATGATCTTATTGTCATTTAAGACTTGTCTAATCTTCTCTATCAACTGGTTAAAATGCACAGTAATGAAGGCAACCATATTGCTGTAGGAGTCACTGGCTCTTTGGAGGTAAATGTACATTTCATCTCTGATATCCATATCAAGTATTCTTTGTCTCATGTCCTCAAGGATATCCTGCACTTTCATCTTAATGTCATTGTAAAATGTAGAGTTGATTACATTTATAAGTTTCTTTACAGCTTCTGCAATCTTTGTGTTTTTGAGTTTTTCCAAATATGTGAAGATGGAGCTTTGTATCTCTCTAAAAAAATCCCTAATAGCTTCAATTTTTTGAACTATCTCATATGTTTTTAGTTGCTCATTGATATAGTGTGTTAGTTCAGCAATTTTCTTGTTCATGTCATCAACAAATGCACTGTAATCAAATTCCTTCATTGACTTTAGCGTTGATGTTATTCGTTCATTAAGGGCATCTATGTTTTTCTTAAAGTCAGTTGCTCTAAGCTGGCTTGTCAAACTGTGAAGAAATTGCATAGTTTTATCATAAACAAATTCAAAGTTGATAGATTTCAAAGCATCTGCTACAGACTGAACAGTCTGTTCAATTTTCAATTCCTTGACAAGGATCACCATCTGATCCATTAATGCTTTAAGTTTATCGTCGAGATTGTATTTTAAAAGAAGATCCCTAATGTATGCATACACAGCATTGAGTTTGTTGGGGATTTCATATTCATCAATCCAGTTTACGATAACATCATTCATAGATTCAATCACTTTTGCTATTTCGGAAGAGGGGATTTTATATGACAGCTGCTCAAAATAAATGGCCAAATCAATTGAGAGAAGGTAATCATTTACATCTTGGAAAAACATATTGATGTCAAACTTCTCAATTGCCTGTTTTAGTTCAGACAGTTTATCTTTTAATATTTCTATTATTCTATATTTTGAATCAAGCTTCTGCAGCCATGCAGCACTGGTTTCTGTGAGCTTCTGTAAATTAATCTGTTTGATAATGTCCTCAATGGCATAAAGTGCTTTGATAAATGATGGCTTGATTTCATACTTCTCATCAAAGGCTTGAAGCTGATTTCCAATCTTTGAAAGAACATTGGTTATCTTGGCAGAAAGATGTCCTTCCTTGAGATAGTTTTTTACTGTAAGGATGAGGTCTCTAATTTTAGTGGCACTGTCCATCACTGTGTTTTCCAAGTTCATCTTCAAATTGTTCATCACAAGCTCCAAGTCATCAATTGTTATTGCAAATTCACTGATCAAGAAATCAAGTTGTGCTTTTACTTGATTCACTTTGTTTTCCAATTCAATATTTTGCATGAAGTCACTTACTTGCATTGGTAGTAAATCTAACTTGGCTCTAAAATCAGTGACTAGCTGATTAATATTTAAATTGTTGATGAATTGTTGAAGGGATTCTAACACTTGTACAAGTGTGTTCTTGACTCTCTCAAAAGCAGCAGGAACGCTCTCAATGAATGGGATATCAATAATATGACAGTCACTGTTCTTGTCATACTTGAGGAAACCAGCCACGTTGAATTCTTGTGTTTCTGCTTGTGATCTCTTGTCTTTACCCAGTTTGCTGAAAATGTCTGTTAATATTGCTCCTGAAAACTCAAAACCAATCTTCTCAGGATTATTGTAAGTCATGATGTCCTGGTTGAAAGCATGGTTGTTCAGTTTAGATTTTACTTTCCAGGTCAGATATTGGTCATTTGGTGCCAAGAGGCCATCAAATTTGCTTTCTAAATTAGTGGAAGACTCTCCAATCGGAAGGGAATGTGTGGTTGACACCCGGCTGTCATGTGAGTATGCAAGAGCCAAAGGCTCAGCTTTCACTAACAATTTGCTGTATAGCTGTCCAGTGTGTTCTGCATATAGATTCAATTCTCCATCACTATTGACAAGGGCATCAATAGTGACACTGAAAGGCAATACCATTGTGCGAATGGTGCTGTCCAAACGTAGTTGCTTAGAGTTTATTTTTGCTTCACATTTTGACTTTGAGGAAAGTCCAGCAAATTCAAGTTCACAGTTGTGACTTAGCTGGGCATCCATTATATCTCCAGACGTGCTGAATTTCATTGTACCAACCATATCTTCATAGGTCAGTTCATAGGAATGGTTAATGTTGTGTTCTTCTTTATATGCTCCCATAATACTGCCACTCAGATCCAAATTAATTGGCTTAAGCTTCATGTGGCCTTCATTTTTCAAACTGACATCATAAAGTCTGAGGTCATTTGTCATATCAACTGATGCAACAAATGGCTTCATATCAAGATTGGTATCTTGCTTGTAGTAAATATCTTCACAAATGACGTTGTTAGTCTTTGAGGTAAGAGCTAGGGTCCACAGAGTGAGAGTCAGTCTGTGGCTATTTTCTGTTTTCATCTGCTTCAATGCTCCCATGGTTTTGCTTTCAAAATTCAGAGCTCGATGGTTGAGGACAATATTCATGTTGTTTCTTGTGGTTGCATCATATGCATTGCCATTGAGTATGCCATGCAAAGAGGCCTCCACATCTGTGACTTTACCCTCAATGTTCAGTTCTCCACGGCACTCCTCAGTCATTGCTTTGGTCCTTGAGGACAGGGAAGCACCATTGTTGTCCATGGTACCATCGAAAATATTCTCTACAGTCACAGGGCTACATTGAAGGCTGTTAGTTCCACTTGTTGTCAGACCATTTCTTCCAACCATAAGAGAAGCTTTGTGCAATCCACGACCTTTGGCAAATGTGAGGGAACCTTCAGAGTTCACCTCAAGACCATTCAAATCCAGGGATCCTGTTAAAAGTGAGTATGCCCTATTTGTTTCATCATCTGCTTGTGACTCAATTCGGAGGATGGCCATATGTTTAGACACACCAAGTTCAATTTTGTTACTGACTGATTTTTCCATGAGTGTGGCAATAGCATTGCATTTTAGGGTTAGTTGTGCATCCTTATACTTGATCTCTGCTACATGCTTCAGGATGTCCTTCTGGGCATTGGTTTTAGACACAATGTTTAACTCAGAGTTTGCATAGACTCCACGGATTCTGTTGTGAATTTGTATGAATGGCGAGTCAAAGTGCAGGGTGGACTCTCCTCTTCCCTCTCTTTCTAGTGGAAGCAGATTGTAGCTGTTTGTGTAGGAGGTGTTGGTATAGAATGACCCTATTCTAAGCAATCCATCCAGGGTTCCATCTCCTGAGACTTCATCTGAATCTAGAGTGGAAGTTGACTGAGCAGAATAATAGAGAGAGGCCTGCAGGCCCACTGGACTAGAGGCTTCCATCTTATAGTTAGCTTTTGCATTCAATTTGTTTGTGACCCTTAAGGTTTCTAAGACACTGAAGCTTGTGTCAATGAGGCTATGGCTGAAGGAAGTATTTAGAAGATACTTGAGATAGTCATCAGCCCTTCCAGACATCATCCCAGTTCCTTGACACAAACAAAAATAAATTATATTACTATCAGTATCTGTCACTACACAGGGAAAGAACAGATGGTCTCTGTTATGTTAAGCATTAGTTGATGCACTTTTTAACACCTCTTGCAAGAACCCCTGCAATGTGTGTCAGATGGATTTCCAGATAGAACAAACTAAATTTAATGAAAACTATTCTAAGATGGCGTAGTCTTAACCATTTTTCAATTTGGATACAGCAAAAAGCAAAAAAAATTAAGGAAGCGCTTACCTTCAAGCTTGTATGACAATAAGTTGAGAGGTGATTGAGCCATGGCCTTGTACTGTGCTATGTAGCTGGGGAAATCAACAGAGTTGTTGCCCCCAGCGATTGAGCCTTCCCATTGGTAGAAATTGCTGTGGATCTTGGTGGATGCTTCAGCCAGACCAAGAAGGGGTACAGTGAAATCCAAAGAAGCTGGTATAGTAAATGATGGTAATGGATAGGTTTTGATGGGGATATGTAGGCCTATCATTTGTAAATCTATGAGGGGAATAGATAAAGTGGTTGGAATGTTAAGTTCCTCTGACTTTTTGCCTCCAAATGGAAGAGAAAGTGAGATGGCCATCTTGTCCTTGTTGAACTGGTAACGGAACAAGCTGTCACTATTAAGGTGAAAAAAAAGAAATGGGGGTTAAGGCCATATATTCTTTAAGCAGTTTTTTTTTTTTTTTTTTTAACTCTATATTAAATACTTACGACTGTAGAAACAGTTTCTCAGGCATAGCAGGCAAAGTGAGATCTGAGATACTCCTTTTACTTCGCAGGTTTTCAAGGTAGGGAATGCGTGCTGTTAATTTGTCCAGCCATATGTTACCTGCCTTCAGAGTGACATGAAGATTAATTAAATCAATCTTTAAACAAAAAGTACAACGCTACTGTAAAGCACTCAAAATAAACATAGAGACAGAGAGAGAGAGAGAGAGAGAATCATGTTGATACTTTGACGAATTGCTATATACTCAATCAATGATTTAGACGGGATAGGATGTCTACATTTTCCAAAACTTGGACTCATTACCAGTAAGTTATGAAAAACAATATAGTGTCAAATGTCAAAGCACTACCTCAATTCCTTTGTTGACTATATGACGGAGTTTCATATCAGACTTTGCCACTTTCTGGTCCAGGACATCATCAATGAGCCGCTGCAGCAGCTCATGATAATTTCCCACATCTGGGATCAATTTGTGAATCTCAGAATTCACGTTGGATTTCAGTTCCACTTCAAACTTGTCATCATCTGTCAAGAAAAAAATCAAAATGCAGGCATAAACTTATAAATAAATGACTATTCTTAATTTCTTTATTTTTTAAAGATCTGACTGAAAAGCTATAAGTTACCGTATCTGAGTAAAGCTCTCTGTTGGTACGATGTCTCAGGGAGGGTGATGATTGTCTCTAAGTCCATGAGCACATCCTTATCCCTCTTTAGGGTTGCAGTGACAGACGCATCTGTTTTCAGAGAGGGGATGACCATCTGGAGTTGCAGCATGGCATCCTTCATCATGTCAAGCCTACATTTTGATAAATTACATGTACGTTGATAAGACACAACTCAATTTGTTAATTGTTTGCATTTCCTGGGATGTTTCTCATCCACTCATTCCCTGTCAAAAGGGTTATGAAACCAGGCAGCACAGCTGACAGGCTAGCATTGTCTATCATGAAAAAGGATCCTTCTAGAACTACAGTACAAACCTTGTACGTCCAACAAGAGTCAGTTGTGGGATGTTCCTGTTTGTAATGTCAATGGTGATACCTCGCATCTTCTTTCCCTTAGCATCATTGTCAGTTACTGCCAGCTTGATGCCTGCTTCCACATCATAGTTAGGAATGACGACCTCAGTAGTGAAAATGTTCTTATTCCGGTTGTATTTCAGAGTTGCAGTGGTTTCTGTGGAATCATCACCTAGAAACAGCAGATATTAAACTCATTAGTGTTCATCTTCAGTGGCAGCTGGTGGCTTCAAGATCTATTAAGTGCCATACACACTTAATATAATATTTTTACATTTAAAAGAATGCAGTGATAAACTTGTGCCGACGCTTATGGTGTACATTCATGAATTCAAGAAAGAAATGATTAAAGTTCATGTCTGTGCAAACTTAGGACAGTCAAGCAAAATCCACTATTATGTTCAATTCAATTTTTTATACCCATTGTTTGTTTTTTTTTTTATCACCACTGCATATCTTAGCCATGGTATGATTAAAGTAAAGACTATGATTACTAGCTGTCAAAAAAACATATGCATGCAAACAAACACACATATTTATTTATGAATGTACCTTCTGCCTTCACGGTTAGCTTCAGAGTGTCTACTTTGTGATGACCCTTTTTACCCTCTCTGAGTCTCTCAGCAGTGATGGTGGCAGTGTACTCTGAAATTTCTCCTGTGGGCTGGATTTCCACTGCAAAACTGTGAAAAAACATAAATAAATCTGGTACTTTGGAAAAAAACATGTTGATTCAATAAAGGAGGACTCCATTAGAAAAATTGAAATATCAAACCATTACAGAGGTATGCTATTTATGCATTAGCTTCCCAATTAAAAAATACAACAATCATATATCTCAGATCAGAAAATCACCACCAACTGATGTTCAAGTCATATTTTATAATGTTTTCTCTTACATGGTTTCTCCAGTCAGGGGGAAATATGGGGCCTTTTCCATGGAAGCAGCATTCGAGTAACGCATTATTTTGCAGAATTTTAAACCACTGAATAAGAGCTGGCAGTCAGTTGAGTCAGTCCTGTCCTCCAAAAGGGATGGCACTATTTGTGTTTGACCAGAGGAGACTGACAGCAGCTTGTTGCTGTATTAAAATAAGAAAAAAGACAGTTATGAATACTGAGAGAAAACAAGAAATGGCTTTTGTATCATTCGACACAGGTGGCACTGACCTAATACTAATCAACTGAATGTTTGACTTAGGAGCAGGTATGGACAGTCTCATCTGGTTATTGTTCACAATGACCTCAGCATTGATGGAACTCTCATGGTACATATTAGTATGCATCTCAAGCCCAGCCTCCACATAGTCTGGAATGTGCACACCCATTTGTGTGATGAATTCTAGCCCAAGTGATGGCATGAAAGACAATTTATTCTGCAAGGAGAAGAATACAACATAATAGTAAACAATGACCCAGTTCAATTCAATAATTATAATTTTATTTTTACATGTAGGCCACAATGGAGAGCCTAACTTACCGTCCCACCACGACCTGAGTGAACCAGGCCTCCTTTGGCACCAGGTGCAAACACACCAGCCAGTGAGAACTTCAGAGGGAAGCCAGAGGCAGTAGGTAGAGAGAAAGCATTCTCCATGAAGATATAGTGGGCAAAGACTTCATTGTCAGTGCTGGAAACCAACGATGAAAGGAACTTTTGGAAAGAAAACAAATAGTTGGTATGAATACATCACTTTCAGTTGAGTATTTCAACAATCATTGAGGTGCTCAATCTAATTTATAAATTACTTAAAACCAGGCCAAAAAGAATAAGATGTAAAAGGTTGCTGCAAGACATAATTGTCATTAAAACTGGGATTTTGGGATATAAATATATCCTTCATCACACTGCCTATAGCATTGTTATGATGTTGAGATTAGCATGCTGACAGCATCCAGCTCAAAGTACTGCTATGCCAAATAAAGCACCACAGATCTGCTAGCATGGCAACCAACTCTTTGGCTCAGACCTGGCAACATCTGTCTGAGGTGATCCAAATCACAAGTAGAAAGCTCTAGTGTTCAATCAAATCACCACAGAGTATTGAACTGAGAATATGTTTAAACTCAGTCTCTCACAGATCTATTTGTGGCCACTGCTATAATATTATAAGCCCCACATATAGATATTTTTATAATTTCAAATGAGACATTATTCTTTCAGCGTAGACCTGGGAAATGAGATCCCATCACATGTGTTCACTCCAGACGTATGTTGAGATGCATTCTAATGATAGATGTGATTGTTGTCCTGTGATCTGTCAATTGTGATCAAATTATTACAAGGTAATGTTGATACAAGATCTGGGGAAGGCCTTAGTTCACAACATTGAGCTGTCAACCTTGTGAACTCTTGTTTTTAGTCATATAGCCAACAAAACAACCTTTTTAGGTTTATTTAAAACAATTGGCCTTGATACTCTAATTGAATTCACTAATTTATTTTGGACAAAAAAAGACAGTTTGAAGAGGGAAAGTTCATGTCAGGAAACAACAGATCTAACCTTGGCTGGTAGAAACATGAAGAAAACATGGTAGTACATGTTGAGAGTTTCAACCATCTTTCTCATTTCACTGGACTTCAGATATCCTATCTCATTTCCCAGAAGCCGGAGATAGGTGATGGCCTCTGGTGCTTGAGAGAAACGGACTTCATTCATGAGCTTCTGGAGGCTGTTTGTGATATATTTCAGAAGATCCTGTGGGACCTAAAGACATTTATGTTTTAGCTTGTATCCATGCAAAAGCAATGAAGCTGCCACACCGGTCAGACATAATAGTATTTCCATGTTAGTTCATGTTATTATATAAGTAGTAGTATATGTTCAAGTTGAGACAATGTTTTATTCATGTTGTAGCACAGAAAAGCACAATATGTAAGGTCTGTTCACCTGTCTTTTCATTCTATCTCTGTCAGGGGCGATTCTGTCCAAAACAACTCCTAGCACCTGGGCTTTGTCCTCAGCCCAGTACATGATTTTGGAGATGGAGTCGGGGAAGAAACCGTTCTCTCCAAAAAGAGCATCAATGGTTGGTTCAAATCCTGTTCCCTCAACACCAACCTTGATGGGGTGGATTGTGAATAGAATAGATTGTTTGAAAAATCTTTGCACAGCTCATGTGTATGCCTCCACTACATAAAAAATGTGTTCTTGAAAACATACCTCAAAGATTTCATAGTTGTAATCAAAAACCTTGAGTGTGGTTTCCAGCATCACCTCCTTTGGTAAAGTGTCTCTGCCATCGAAGATGATGTTGGTGTGTGCTGAGCCCAGGCGAGAGTCTATTTTGTAGTTGTGTGACATGCCATCAAAAACCTTGTTTGTGGGTGATGGACGGTCTGTCAAGGCCAACTCAATGTACTCCCTGAGTCTTTAGGAGGGAGCATAAAGAGGATTTCAGATGGCACAGGGCAATAATACTATTTTATTTCCCTAATCACATACCTCATCTCCTTGTGAGCAAGATCATTTTCCATTTTCACCCTTGTTTTTTTACATATTAGACTTCAGTTTAAATCCCTTAAGTTAAAGGGAAATATTATACAAAGGAGATTATCTTAAAATCTGCATTAACTGACCTTTAGCCGTTGGACTGTAGCAGAAACTGACATTGCTAACACATGATCAACTTTAAGTTGATAAAAGGATGTCAGCAGAAACACTGCAAAATTAGAATTCACTGGTCGCACTGAGCAATTTCTATTGTTTTACCATAAATGTTAACATGAAGCAGGCCAAGAACCAATGGATAACCTCTATATGGACTGTAATCTACTTATTTATTGTACAAGTACATGTTCATTGTAATATGATGTTGCTGCCGGCTAATTACTCACTGATACATCTGTGGCTCATCAGAGTTGCGGATGTTGTTCAGGTGGGAGACCAGGAAGCTCTTGAGCTGCTCATCTCCCACGTTCTCCAAATTGTTCACAATGTCTTTAATAAGGGCTTGATGTGGGTTCTTCATCAAAATCAGGTAAGCTGCAATACGTTTTTCAACAGAGCTCTGTGTGTCCTGGTAAATCTCCATGACAATGCTTCTGACCTGTAGTTGACCAAATGATAAATGACTGAATGTTTCTACAGTAGATCTTCACAATATTACATTTTCAGTTATTAATAATTATAAAATAATTATAATTAGCTCATGTCTTTGGTGCTCTTTACTGATTATCTTTACTGAATAGTTAATTTGCTCAAATGTCAAACAGCACATGGTGTGTTCATCATCACACTTCCATGCATGTACTAGAAATGTGTGTTACCTCATCATTCATGTCCATCAACCTTAAGGCCTGTATAGCTGCCTTTTGGTTAGATAAAGGAATGTCTGTTTTCTTAGCACATCGCAAAATGGAGGAAATCAAGCTGGGGCTGACAGCTTGCATGGCTTTGCCCATGACACCAACGACCTAGAGAAGAGGGAAAAAAAACAAACATCTGGAATACTGTGATCTTGAACCAAATTCCACTGACAAGACTTGATTCATCAGTGAAGACAGGACTGTACTGTATGTGCAATGTGTGCGTGATCACCATTACCTTCAGTACAAGGAAGGACATCTCATCGGGGTCCGTGAAAAATTCAGAGTCATCATCAAGGATTTCTCCCGAGCAGTCATTTAGGAGTGTCTCCATGAACTTTGACACATCTGTGACAACTGGAGTAACCTCTCCTTTATGGAACCTATGGACAAGTGACAGCAAATTTTCATTCATTCTCAATACTGAATTTATCAGTGGCGAACCTTCGCCTCCCTATTCACTTCCAATCAGTACAAGCAGGGGGCAGAATAAAACATTTGCATCCAGTGGTGAAGCAAATGGCAGTATGGCTTTGCATGGAGCTAAACTTTATTGAACTTTAACCCACAACATTAATTTACTTACTTCTTGACTGTGTTGGCCAGAGCATACATGATTGCCTTGCTCTGTTTATATTGAGCCATGCTGAGCATATCTCTGACACGTGCTGCATTGGGGTTAGCCTGAAGACTCAGCCCATAGACTAGAGCATCCACTTCTAGTGACACCCCATCAATAGTCCTGATTCCCTGGAGGATGGCACTGGTGCACTCTGGAGTCCCACACTGGAGCAGAGCCTGCCAGGTAAGCCAGCCTGATATATCTAGCATTTCAGTGACTGTCTGGCTCAGGGTCTCATTCCTCAGGACACGCAGGCTGGACACCAGCTTATGGAAAAGACTGGGCCTCTTCTCTCCCAGGTCTGTGCCTGCTAAATCCACAAGGTCCCGCAGTGTGCTCAGAGCAGTGTCCTTGGTCTGGACTGGAGCTTTATCATCAGGGTCTTCAAAGTGGAGAGGCTTGCTCTCACTAGGGTTCACTTCTGTGTACACACATAGTTATGTTTTCAATCCAGGATGTGGACTAAACCTACACAATCAGGCTGCAGACATGCTTGAAATGATAGCTCACCAAATGCTCTGTTGCTGATCCTCTTGGAGCTTTGAAAGCTGAGCTCCTGGCTCACCGCAGATGATATCCCATCGTCCCTGCAAAACAGATTTGAAGGTGATGCAAAGTGTAAAGTGGTGCACTTAATACACACAAACACACACACACACAGACATGCATTTAAATGATGACTTACTCATTGGAGAAGGGCTGGTAGATGTGTTTTTCTGTGCATATGGCTGTCAAGATGTGCTTTCCCTTGTTGTCAAACTGGTAGTCACAGTCTTGAGTGCTTGTAATTAGATTTGACATGGGACGATGCTGGGAACAAAAATTAACAATGTGTCATAGCAATACATACTTTCAATTTGCAGTAAAAATTTGAACATTTCAATTAAATGTTTGGCAACCTACTGGTCCATCCAAATTTTGTAAACCACTTTAAATACAACAACTGGTTGCATTGGAAAAAAAAAAAAAAAAAAAAAAAAAAAAAAAAAAAAAAAGAAAAGTAAAAAAAAAAAAAAAATTATAGAGCTGTCTTTAACTGTTGTTTTGTGTGTCACTGTGGTACGTTGTATTTATGTGTGGTTTCATTTGTTCACAATTGATCCATCTTGACAACATGTAGTCAACATGTCATTGCAGAGCTGCAGAACGAAGAGTTGACTGTTATGAAGTGTACAATAAAAGACTTGTGCAGCATATGAAGCACACATTAGCGACTGTAATGTTTCTGAGCAGGTCAGAGGATAGTAGACTCAGGACAAAAGGTTAATTTCAAAAAGGCGACAGAAAAAGACAGAAAGTCGTTCAGGTAATCAGTTGAAATCAAATAAACTGAGGAAAGGAGCAAGCAAAAGGAAAAAAAGAAAAAACAACAAGTCTGAGACTTGGAAAGCAATGAACAAATGAGGAAACAGGGGAATGTGTATATTTATTATACGACCTTGGCTGATAACAAATCCAGCGGCAGGTAAGTAATTGGAAGCTTGTGTGGATGAGGAAGCGAACGGGAGAGAAATGAGGGCAGCGACTGTAACAAGTAAAAATAAGACAACACTCACAACAGACGATGATTAACAGCATCTTATAGTTATATCATAACCAACAAGCTAACCCTGACCCCAACGTTGGCTGAGTGAATTCTGTTTTTAAAAGGGTAGCTGGTATTTTTCATAGTGTGTTCAGAATGAGGGAGGTTCTTAAGTTGTGAGTAGTTTGACATAGTTTGAAGGATGAAGCCGTCATATAAAGCTCATTTTTTCAGCCGTTAAATCTTCTCCAAGGCTCTTTGATCCTGATACAAACCCAACCTGAGGAACAAAGCCTATTAAATGTCACATTTGCACATCAAGCCCTACATTTTTATAATGTTGTGACTGTGAAAGGTAAATGTGGCATCTGGCAACTGAAATGACCAATACATCGACCTCAGTCTGCCATTTATACGTCATATCACATATTGAAGCCCTTTAGAGCAGAGACCCAAGAGCTTGAGAAGAAACACAAACATGAGAAGTTATTTCTTGAGTCCACTCAATGCCAAGACACATCATAGCCCTACGATACTCTGTAATTTGACAAATTGCTGACCTTTAGGTTTTAGTTTTTTTTTTTAATCATTTTAGCAGCTGAGTTTGTCTTGGTTACTTTAATAGGACCAAACATTTTGCCGGAGAGTTAATCTCCAGCTTCAGTGAAAAGGTTTAGTGCCATATGTAATACTATCATTAGAAAATCGTTATTCTCTGCCTGCATGGAAATGTGTCTTTCCCTACAGAGCACTTGTTGTGATTAAAAAGGGTTAAAGGCCCATGACAAAGACGGCTCATTTATGAGTAGATTCTAACATGAATAGTGAATTACACATAAAATAAAATAAGCCTGAAATTATTCTTTTTATGTATTTCTCCAGTAAAATGACAGACACTGAAATAAAAGATTGATTTAAAATATTTTTCTTTGCGCCATCTGTTTCAAATTCAGGGTGTGAAGGACATTTAAGTATTGATGTAGTTTTCCACCTGATCTGTGTCATGTTCACTTCAAACAATTGTCTCTTATAATCTTCCTGGCTACGTCAACTAATTTCACGAGTTTACTTTTACGTCTAGCACCTAAACTTCCATAGCAACTTTAGGACTATGGGGGTGACTGCAGTGTTAAGGGGTGGATTTTGCTTAATTTAAATAATTTNATTTTAACTTTCTTATCCATTTTGGGGAAGTGGAAAGTTTTGAACAAATGATTGACATGCTATTACATTTTAAGATGCATGTGTATACATCTAGCAACATTGTCATTCATTTAGAGTTCTGTGTTTGCCCACCTGAATAAAATTCAGATTGCAATATTGTACTGTCCTTTGGTCTCTACCGACTCCTGAGGGAAATATCTTTTTCACTACCTAAATTTGTCTGATGCTTGGTGCGGAGCAGGTAGTTTTACGGTTGATTCCAGAGCGATTCTACTGAAAACATTCACCTGATACAGCCGGAAATGACAGAGGCCTGTGAGAGACACCAAGAAACTGAAACTGTCACTAAAACGGAGCTGCAGTTTCAGGTTATGTTTTATCATTACATACAACATATTTGTGCATTGCTTTCACATTTTCATCTTATAGATAATGATTATGAGAAAGCAGTTTGTTCCAAGACTGGCAGGCATCATTTTACATTTTAACTTAAACTTTGTAGATCTGGTTGAGGGTGAAGGAGGGATGCCCCACCTTGTTAAAGCCCTGTGAGACAAATTGTGATTTGTGAATATGGGATACAACATATTCAAATTTGCTTTTCTTCTATTTGCCTTTTTGCTCAATATTCATCTCATCACAAAAGAGATGTCAACATTCTACATGTGTAGAAGACCACGTGAGGAATGGTTTGCACTAACCTTTCCATGGCAGCCTGGAAGGCCTCAGATCCAGGGGCCTGCCTGTAGACCAGCTGACCCTGGGGATCCATGACAGTCACCTCACTGAGCACACAGTCCCTGGTGTGCATGATGAATCTGCATGCTTGGGGGACTTCGATCTCTACCTAAAGATATGTGACAGCAGACACAGGGTCAGCAGAGAGACAGAGAGGCAGCTCAGATAAGAACTTTCTTTTACAAAGTGGGACACATAACAGTCACGTACCTGACAAGAGACTTTGGGGCCGTTCCCTAGGTTGGCAGTGCCCACCACACCGTTTCTGCTCTCTGTGGTGTACTGGTACACATATTTCTTGGAGGCCTTGAATCTGGATGCCACTGCAGTAAGATGATAGCATCACAACAACAACAACAGCAGTGAAATTATGTAAAATTACGTCAACAATGAATAACTGTTATTGTACTGAATAACAAATAGCGCAAGGTAAGAGTTCATCAGCATTTGCTGCTATCTCCAGAAAACAGGTCATGTGTTTATTAGTTTAGCACAGCGGGTCAGTGTGTCTGTTTGGAACACCATATCACCCCCTCTATCTACCCTGTGTACATACACACTCAGCCCCTACTGAGGAATTGACAAAGTCCAGTATTTGGGCATTTAAGTAATTCAAATTATAGGGGGAGTACTGCTTGAAACGTACAATGTAAGTGTTTTTAAAACCAAAATAGTATAAGTGTAATGAAATAACCCAATTACGATGTTCAGAAAAGGATTTAGAGTGAAGTTTTGTTCATGGACATCTACTTACATAGACATGTTGAAGTTTGTTCATTGATGTCACTGCCATCCTCTGGAAAACAAAGAGTAAGATGATGTGAATAGCAAACATGATTCTGTATGTCAATAAACACTGATAATTACAACTCAACTAAGAAATTGTGTAATTGGCATGAAAAGGCCTGGGCAAAAACATTTTGAATTGAGTTATATGTCCCTTTACATCTACAGCTGTGGCAAGGTGAGCAAAACACACACACACACACACACACACACAC